TACATTTCATTTCAATTCATAACCCTAAAATTCCAAATATCCAAGTGGCGCGCACGTGGAGGACCCATCCCACTCACAACCCTTTTTATTTATTTATATCTTTCCACGCCCAAGATAACTAATTTCATAAACGAAAATCTTCTGCCAGATAAAATAAACCAAAAAAAAAAAATAATAATAATGCTGGACCAGAAAAATTCTCCCCCACGTCTTACTCCATGCGTTCCTCGAGCGTGACTGTCGCTAAAAGCCAAATGAAACGAGTAGTCGTTCTGGCAAAAAGAGCTTATATATCCTATTCGTTATAAAAGACTTATTTAACGAGTATACGAAGTACGTATAGAGTGTATTATAGTATATATATCTCACTGTAACAAGTACCCATTAACAATTTGGGGAAAGTATTGAAAATAAAGGAATTATTATCTTGCTAGTAGGATGCTGCATACTTTTGTTGTACCAGTATTGGAATATATATATATATATATATATATATATGCCTGCGCGACCACGCCTGAGGCCCATCGTGTCGAAATAACGTTTACGAGATCGACCACTAAATGAGTTTATAATTATAGCGCGTCGGAATTACGCTATACGTAGAGCTATAGTCGGCGCTCGGTAGCTGTCGAGATTTATATTCGCTGAGTTAAAAAAAAAAGCCGATAAGCCATTAGTCTAACGTCTGAACGATTTTTGCAGAAAGAAAATTCTTGCTGGTACCAATTTCTCACCAATCTCACTCGATGAAGTCTTCTCTTCATCTTCCCATAGAAAACCCACCCCTAAGTGTGTCACCCTTGGTTTCATTACAAAATTCCTGGCACGTACTGCACAACCCCCTCGCCTATCTATACTTAACTACCCTTGATAATAGACCCTTAAGGAGTCACGCAAAAAAAAAATGGTCGCATGCGAAAATGATTGTTCCAACAAATTTACTTAGCTTTCAGGTGGGTCGAGGGCTTTATGTCCCATCTTCAATAGACTACTGGATTGGGCATAGATATAGGTATACGAGTAAGGGTGGACCGGGGTGGGTTATTACCAAAGTGGAGGATCGTGATATCCTTAGAAAGAAAAAAACAGGGTGGAGTAACCCTCAAGAAACACGGACAAGGATACAATAAAATTTTTTCGTTCTAATGAAAACTTAAGGGTGCTTGTTATCGATACGTTGCTTTTTTTTTTTTTTTTTGGCAAAATAAAAACCAACTCGAAGAAAATGTTTCGTTGTGAGATTCGTAAGTTTTTATTAGGATCGAGCGAAGAAATTTAAGTTTTTGGAGAAATTGAGATTGGGTTCGGTGTAATTGGGGTTTATAGATTTTCGTAAAATTCGAGTTTTCCAAGGCTGGTGAAAGTCAAGCATAATTTTCTTGACAAAGGATTTCGTACTATTGGGAATTGAATTACTTTGGAATTCGCAGTGTCTCGTATTGACCTTGAGCCTTTCCCTGCTCCCTTACAAATCACTCGGGACCACTCGGCTATCTTCGTTAGTTCTCGTGACGCTCAAGAGACGCCGCCTCTTGTCTTTGGAAATACCAGAAATTCTTCGTCTAATGGATCTCACGTACTTTCAAGAATAGCCACTTTTTAACCCTTTCCTCGGTACTTGTTTCAATGGTGACAATGAAGGTGCGATATACGTTAATGTATCTTTAATGCTTATTTGCCCTGTGACGTGTCAACTTCTTATCGGATACTTACCGTGTCGCCATCAACTCTCAATATACATATATATACACGTTTATTAAGTACCACTGGACCACCCGAAGATAACCCTGCCCATTCGATCTCTATTAATTCCCAGAGATCAAAATGGTCCATGGAAGAGGCTGGTGAGATAAAAAATGGAATAATCTTCAAAAAGTTTCAAATTTTTTTTGGTTTAATTTCACACAGTTTTCTGAACAGCCTCATCGATTGGAATTATCTGGAGGTAACGAACAATCCTCTTAAGATTAATTAATTTCCCCTTAATGGATTTCTATGGGCTGTTTCGATGTTCCGGGGTAATAAGATAAAAGGGGGTTTTTGTCCGATGGCCTTTTAAAAGGAATTGATACTTCGATGTTCAGCCAACTGGACCGACGGCTTGAGAAATCAGTGATCTTATGCCATAGTTGCAATTACAATAATTTCTTTACTAGGCGGTATTTTACTTTGCGCAATGATATTCTTGTTCGTCACTATGAATTCACTGCTAAGATATGACAAAGATGAACGATTAAGAGAACTTCTATTGACAATAGAACTGGCTAAGACCTTAGTTACGCAAGTACAGCTTGAACTGTTCACGTATCCTCGGAGTCTGCGATGTGGGACGACCTGACAATTAGTGGCAAATGGATTTCGTGCTGTCGATCAATTTTCGTAAGTCAGCACTTCACATCGATCTGACAGGGTCATCGAAATAGATAAGGTCAAGAACTTTATCGTGGATTTTATTAACGGCGATTGATTCGATGGGCGAGGCTGACGTCGAATAAGGAACAAACGAGCTAAGACCACAAATCGATAACAATAAATAAATAATTTAAAAAAAAAATAAATAAATAAATTACATAAATTTTCGTCCGATTAGGTAAACAAAAAATTATCATCGATAAAAAATATCCTAAAAAATTAACCCAGCAACCACGAAATCCAACCCTTCCATCCGAATAGCTAAGAACTAGGAAAATACCTCAAAATATTATCAGACCCTTTATCGACTGAATTAAGCAGGTACAGTCATAACAAAGACCGTCGTATTTATATCAACAGGAAAACAACACACGGATGACATATGAATATTAATGCACACTTGAATATGCATGGCACTGGATCGATGTAATATTTTCTGTTCTCCTATTTCCTCGCATTCTTTCCCATTTCACAAGATCTATATTCAGGCCAGCTATAGCCGGCACGAACGCCGTAACTTCCGTAATACATTGAAAACAGGTTTAAAATACCTCAAAGCCATTTTAAGGCGGGTGACAGATCGAATAATATGTTTCACGATTACCTTGTAGGTTTTTGTCGAATAAAAAAAGAAAGAAAGAAAAAAATAAATAAATAAAGAAAAAACGTAAAGAATCGACAGCCCCCTGAAAGGTCTGCGAATCCAATGAAATTTCCAGATGGGATTACGGTGCAACCGCGTGGCTATTATTATAACTGTTCTTACCATCATCATTATCATTATTACAATGATATATTTCCGCGATTCCCGTACAATGAATGAAATAACTATCATGAACGTGTCACAATACAAGACAGCGTAACTGATGCGCGCATGTGGTATTAGCCATTAAACGGAATGACACGCGGATTTCTTGTAGCGTCCGACGAAAGGCCGCAAAGAGAAATTTAATATAAGGTCGTAAAAGGTTTTCGGGGTCCCGCAATACAATTAGGTTTATTAACTTTTAATTTAATAGCAGCGGACACATAATGACCGGGTTTGAGAAACTGGATTCACCGGTAGCCGTATATAATGCAAGTGCATTCGGAGTGCATCGACGGGTCGTATAAGAGATGCACTAATGCAACGATGACAACGGGAAATATTTTCCAAAGTGCAACGGAAGGCAACTGCACCGAGCTCGTATATAGTGCATTCGAGGAAATTATTGTAAATCAGTCAAAAAAAAATCAGACGCGATTCGATGGATCGTTAAGTGGGAAAATAGGAATGGTGAAATAGCGTTAACGTTAAAGGGAGATAAAAAAGATCGATGATTGATAACAAATTAAATAATGCACCGACTAACGAAGTGCATTTCGCGCGGAAAGCAGTTAACGGGGTGTAAACCGACAATCGTTGCAAAATGCACCTATACGCAGGATGCACGATAAATAGCGCACGTAAAGCGGTTAACTCTTGGGCTTGGTAATTTTAACGTGACGCACTCCGCATGCACTTTCCGTGCACCGCGTAACGAGTTGCATTAAAGTGCATCGGGGGTAAAGGACGTAAAATCCAGAAGCGAAGAGGGTCTGTAATAAGTAATGCGAAATGAATACCTCCGGGATGAAACGCGATGCAAAGAGGATGACAAGGACGAACGGACGGGGTGTCTACGAGAAGTGCATACAGAAGTGCATAAAATTGTTCAAGCGAATAAACCAAGCGCAACAATCAATCGAAAATTGCAAGCAGCCTGCAGATACGTTCTACGGTCGTTACCCTATTTTTATCGAGTCGAACGAGCGGCCTGGCTAATTGACCGTGTCGGGGATGTAAAATATAGACAGTCGAGGGAGCGATGCAATTAGAAAAGTTACGTTGCACGGGTAACCCTGGATGCACCGGGAGACGAGCCGAGGGTCTCAAATAAATTTACGGTTACGAGATGAGTAAGGAGATTTGACGGGAATAACCCAGGACTCTCAGCGATGCATTTATTGAGAAGCATTAAACCAGTACGGGTGTAAGTGCAGCAGAGTGACGTCACTGCTTTGAAATAACTCTGACTAAGAAAATGCATCCACTGGTATATCCCATAACGGAAGACGTTAAGGTTAGTTCGGTATTCCGACTTGTCGGAAATGCAACGGACCGAAGGACTTCGCAGACTCCAATAAAACAGCCAGGCGTCCGGGTTCTGAGATAACAGAGTGCATCGGATGCGATGCTTCACGGAAGCTGGGTCCTGACGGGTTACGAAGAGGGTCTAGGGCTGGGCCGGTGACTCGTCACTCCAGAAGGCCTGGAAGCTACGGTCATTTTATTACGGTCGAGACAGTCGAACCGCCATGGAATATCAAGCTTAATTGACTAGAGTCGATTTATTGCTTTATGGATATGAATTCCGATCTCTTCGGCTGAATCGAACTGGACTTCCTCTTCGTCCACGACAAGTTCATAAGGATAATGAATAGGTGGTCATTCCGTCATCGAAGAAATCGTTGGGATAAATAGACGTCATCGAGATCATCGACCTGGATCATCCGCCAGGTTGAACCAAGGATAAAAAAAAATAGTGAAAAAAAGTATGGTGTCCTACCTTCATCGTCGATCGAGAAGAATCCCAAGCCGTCACCGCCCCGGATGCTGTAGCCGACCCTGGAGTCTCCACCGGGTAGATCCGCGTCCTTAGCTCGTACGGTCGTCACCAGGGTACCGATCGGCTGATTCTCGAAGACACTTGCAGATATCACAAAATCGTCAAACACTGGGGCGTGGAGATTCTCGTTGACGTCGACGACCTCGACCACGACCATCGTCTCCGAGGACAAGGGGGGGTCACCGCGATCAACCGCGAGGATGGTCAGGGTGTGAACTTGACGTTCCTCGAAGTCCAGTTCCTGGGTAGTCCGAATGGTTCCCGAGACCTTGTCGACTTTGAAAAATCCTTCGTTTTCGACGTCATCGGACAGGAAGTACTCGACGTCACCACCTGGTCCATCATCCGGATCGGTAGCACTGACTACGGCGACGACGCTCCAGACCGGTATGTCCTCCCGGATCTTGACCGTGTAGCTGGGTAGAGCAAAGGTCGGTGCGTTGTCATTGACATCGTCAACAGTCACTCTGACAAGTGCATCAGAGTGCAACGGAGGTGCATCGGTGCCCTTACCACCGTTATCCCGTGCCCTGATCTTCAGTTCGTACACTTCCTGTCTCTCTCTGTCCAGCTTCCCAAACACACTGAGCACTCCAGTCACAGGGTCCACCCTGAAGTCCTTGGTCTCCGTGGCTAGGAGATAGGTGATCCTGGCATTCTCACCCAGGTCAGCGTCAGACGCGTTGGCCCGGAAGATGCTGGTGCCGTTGAGTGCATTTTCCGAAACTTTGAAACTAGCCAGTGACTTTTCGAATTTCGGTGCGTTGTCGTTGACGTCCAGGACCGTGATAGGCACGATCCTGGATGCTGACTTTTGTGGCTTTCCAAGATCGTAAACACTTACGTTCAGGAAATACTCGTTCTCCCGTTCTCTGTCCAGGTACCCAATGATACTCAAGTCCCCAGTGTCTGGATCCAGTCCGAAGACGGAGTCACGATCTCCGGCAGATATTCCAAAAACTAGTTTCCCGTTGTAACCGAGATCACGATCCCGGGCGCGTAGCCTGACCAAAATTGTACCTAGGGGTATCGACTCGTTGACTTTTATTTCATTGGGAAAGTCCAGAAATTCCGGGGCGTGCACGTTCTCCCCGTACCGACTTGGCATCATCGTGTATTCATCATCGCGCCCAGGCATGTTATTTTTCTCAGCGGATGCTATCGCCTCAGTGAGGCGTCGGGCCACGCCCGTATCGCGGCACTCAAAGGCCCCACTCTCGTCCGTGAGTATCCTGGCTTGTGAACCAAGATTTCTCTTGGCATTAACCAGATGAACGTGGACCCTGGTTACGTCTGCGAAGTGGGTACCGTCCGTGGCAGTGATGTTGACTTCGCGTTCGGCTACCTTGACGTCCATCAGGTCACAGGCTACCGATAAGACCCCACTGGTAGAGTCTAGAGAGAAGCAGCCGTCTTCGTTTCCGGATACGAGCCTGTAGCTTATGATATTTCCAGCATCGAAATCAATGGCTGATACCGTGATGATCTCCGATCCTATAGGCAGATAACGCGGCACGTGACCGGAACAATCGATCTTCTCGAACTGGGGTCGATTGTCGTTTACGTCCCTTAATCTGATCCTCAACTGCATTTCGGTTTGTCTACGATAAGGAAGACCCCAGTCGCTGGCCCTCACGTGGAGCAAGTACTCCCTCTTCATGGTCTCGTAGTCCAGGACCTGTTTGGTACGTACGATACCGGAAAAGTGATCGATGTCGAAGGGCACTTTTTTGATATTGTCAATGCTGTAGGTTATGTACGCATTTTCACCAGAGTCCTTGTCCTTAGCCGTCACCTTCACCACCGAGGTACCACCCGGTTCATTTTCATCTATCCAGACCAGCATCTCCGACTTCTCGAAGATGGGATCGTTGTCGTTCGTATCCACCACGTTGATCTTGACCTTGGCCGATGATTGCTTCCTGGTACCAGTGTTACCCTGGTCTACAGCTGATACCGTCAAGGTATAGAACGCTTTCTTCTCAGCATCCAATGGTACCGCAGTGTACAGCATCCCGGTATCAGCGTTCACGTAGAATTCACCGCCTTCGTTTCCGCCGACGATCTCGAGGAAGACCAAAGCGTTTTTACCCTCGTCCGCGTCGGTGACCTTCAGCCTTATCACTGCTGTATTGACAGGTGCCGTTTCGGGCACCTTGACCTCATAGATCTCGCGGTTGAACACCGGAGCGTTGTCGTTGAGATCAGCCAGATGAACCGGGACGGATTTGTAGCTAAATCGCTGGGGTACACCCCGGTCAACGGCACGTAACGTGAGGTTGTAGCCCAGGGGCGTAGTCTCTCTGTCGAGCAGGTGGAGAACCTCGATGTTGTACTCGTCAGGTTTGCCACCGGTATCCTTAGCAGGCCGCACCCTGAAGTGCCCATCCGGGTCGCCGCCGATGATCTCCAGACTGGCGATCTCCCCGTGCACACCCTCGTCATGGTCTACCACCTGGACTATAGCGTAGATGTCAGCGTTCGAGTGCTCCAGGATGTCCGGCAGGTGGCGCACGTAGATCTCAGGAGCGTGAAGATTGACCTGGCGCACTTTGATCGTCACCCTGGCCGTGCTGGCACGGGATGAACCCACGTTCCTGAAGAGAGCGCCCCTGTCCTTGGCCAGGACCACCAGCTCGTGTATCGCCCTCTCGGAGTACCTCAGCGGCCTGGTCAGGGTGATGACGCCACTGACCGGATGCACGGAGAACTGTTCCGTCTCCTCGGCGAAGCTGTAATAAATCTCCCCGTTCCTACCCAGGTCAGCGTCTTCGGCCATGACCTTGAGGATGCTCCTGTGAAGCGGCGTATCCTCCGTGACGGTCTCCTCGTACTCCGTCGGGTAAAAGAGAGGGTTCAGGTCGTTAGTGTCCAGTACCGTAACCACCACCGTGGTATCAGCCTCGAGGATGATGAGCTTGCTCTTCCCGTCGCGCCTCGTCGACGTCCCCCGCACTTCCAGCACGTAACGTTCCTTACGCTCACGATTTAGCACGTCCACGTTGCCCGAACGAGTCCGTATCAAAAGAAAGCAAAAGTCACCCACGGTCCTTTCTTCGGCTTTGAAGAATTTCTCCCTGTCACCGCCCATTATCTTGAACTTCACCTCGACGTCGGGGTCCGCCGGTCCTAGCCTTATGCCCATCTTCTCCTCGGGCACTACGAACGTCTTACCTATGGAGTTCTCCGGTATGGAAACATTGTACAGAGACCGTGTGAACCGGAACTCCTGCGACGATGAAGCTTCCGTCGGTCCGGTTCCTGGTCCCGGGCTGGAGACGGAAGCGCCGTAGGACGGGATGCCCGCCGTGGCTGCGAGAAACCACAGCCACAGCCATGGCCAAGCAAGCAGCACATGCTGCCCTAACCACGCCATCTTGCTAGCTCATCGTTGATCTTTCCAGGATGCTGCGACCCCCGCCAAACTTCCAGCCAGGGTTGCCAAGCCCTCTTCCAGGTCCTTCGCAAGGAAGAGACTCTCCGGTATGCTGAGGTCCTCCTGGGAAACCTCACTTCCTGCCAATTACACCTGAAACACAAAGAGACACGAATTATGAGAAGAATTTCAAAATTAAATATTTTCATTAATTTTCAAATTAATTGAAGATCAACACCGTTTTCTCAATTTTACAGATGACCTAACCTAATTTAGAGACTCGAGCAGATCTGTACAAGTTTTCTCAAATATCACCTAGTAGATATCTCAAACACCGTGGATCATCTCTTTCACCCCACAATTTCCTATATCCATACCGCTGATAAGCCGGAATCCTCCCCATGGCTAACACCGCCCCGATAACGTCTGCAGCTGAGTTATCTTTCACCGAACAAGCCCGACACACACGTTCGCTCTAATCTAACTGGGCTGTTCCTCGCCATTACTACCAGAAGGCTACAGCACTGTCTCTCCAGCCACTGGGAACTGGTAGCAGTGGCAGTTCGACAGCCGGAAACGGATACACTGATATATCGATGTGATTGGCTACTAGCCGTTTCCAATTCGCGACTGGATTGAACCTAGCCTACAATTCCTATATCCCGGCAGTCGCCGGAACAGTAAGATAGAAAACATGAAAAGGGTATAAACAGAGACACGGAAACGATCCTTAAATTTCAAAGACTTTTTAACTCAATTCCTATCGATCCGTCCGACTGATTCATACGCAATATCCATACGTGAACACATAAACCACCCGGGGCTACAGAAATCCTACAGGATGATTACGCGTGACGTGTGGCAATCACAGCGGGGAATCTTTAATGAGAAATGGCAAATAATTTAGTGATGTTCAAGCTGGGTACTAAGAGCGTGAACGAATTCTCATCCATATGAAAAAAAAAGAAAAAAAAAATACCACCTGACCTCCATCATTTCATACTTCTTTCTCATAGCCTTAATCCACGATACGTGATCGTGCTGTGGTCCATTAAGAGATAACCAGTGAAAAGACTCACGAAATCATCGATCCGCTCACACAACGTAAATACCGATGCTTAGTACGAGTGTGAATAGTTATTTTGAAAATTGGATCCGCCAGAAATTCCCCAGTTGTTATTTTAACTGATTGGATCCAGCAGACGTTAATCACAGACGCATTCAGCAATCGTCCGTACTCGGCGGTAGCCCTGGGTGAAAGGACCTGTATACCACGTCATTATATATATATATATTTTTTGTCCAACTTCCGCAGTTATATTTTCCCGTACCCACTTGCCAGGATACGATCCACTGTGAGAAAAAAGGGTTAACGACTACGGAAGGTGTGTTGGTGCTACCTTCTGAAGTCTCTTAGCTCTCTGCTTCTCTTTGTTCCTCTCTCTCTTTATCTTATTCTCCATGACCCATCGACTCACCGCTCGACTCTTTCCCTCTCGCTCTCACTCGTACGTCCTTTTTTTCTCTCTGCGATGTCTCCGCAGTCGGCGAACGAAACCTACGGTCAATTATGGTACCGGCTTGAAGTCGTGGTAACAAAAAGTACTTAAACGGTCCGCCTAGTAACGTAACTGGAGAACCGTCGCGTGTAGTTGGTAACAGGGGTACCAACGTTGGTACTGGATATAGAACTAGACATAGTAACAGTCTACGATGTAAGTACTACGTGATTCTTGAATATCGTGACGAACTAAATAAATTTTATATCTAGGGAATTTCTTTCATTTTCCCTAGACGGACGATGAACGATGAGGATCGGATAAAGTTGACCTGACGAGTCCCGCTGGTATTGTGGATCTTTTTCGAGCCGTCGAAAAGTATCGAGAATAGAGTCGAATTTATGCACCGGGCTACTCGGAAGTTTCGGTTACGCATGAGAGATGTAATAAAAATTGGGAAAAAGAGGTATAGCTGTAGAGGGGCCATTCGGTCGGACGTGTCTCTATATCACTCTAAGACCCAGTGATAAGAGAAAGTCTTCGAGTCTATTCGATAAAGTGCTATCTCTCATCGTATGCTGATACCCTAATACCCAGTCTGAATGTTGTTATTGGTATTTTCAATCCACGATTTTCACCTATGGGCTATGGCGCCGCCAAACTGCATGGTGATCCCTTCTGGATGAGGATACACGCTTCTTGTGAAATTGACTGTCTCTTTGAATAAAGCTAAACCAGGGTGGGTTCGATTTTCCGCAGGATACTATCAAAGATAGTAGATATATACAATATGTATATGTATACCTATATATGCGCTATTTACATTGCTCGTCTGGCTCATAGGGAGTATCGTCTGCAAAGCACTCAAGCACTGTATCATGCACGTGCATCTATCGGATGCACTTCGGTTATCAGTTTAAAAGGACCCCAGGAATAGTACCTCAAAAGATTCAGAAAAAAAAAACCAGACGCCATCAAAATTTTTTCAAGTATATACATATACGATCCGTATATCCGTATACAGGATACACGTCATTAGTACGAGTAACGAGTGACGTCGGAAATCCAGATGAATGAAATTTACGTAAGAAAAAAAAAAATGAATTTCGTACGACAAAGGGTAAGATTGAATATTCTTAGAAATTGAAAAAAAAAAATAACGTTAAAAATTAAGGTATGCCCTTTTAAGATTATCTACATAGTACACTTAGTGCAAAATGCACTCTGTCGTCGGAATGGATTCGTGATATTCTCCATCTGCATTGATACCAACATATGCACAAAGGTGGATGACGTCACAGGCGTACGGGGATACGTATAGGGAGTTTAACAATGTCAGATAGACTGTGGAGCCATCGAGAGAATGGAGACATTTATTCAGATGGGATCTATATATTCCAAGCCCAGCATCAGACAGCACCCACTCTAGCCCGCTGGACCAGTCATCCGTAGATAGATACGCTCGTGGACCATGTTCTCGATATCGATCATATCATTCTCTCTGGATTTGTACTTATTTGTCTCCGTATATATAGGTATCGATATAGCGTTCACTAATAGATCCATATATCGCATACGAAATTCCTGTATTTATCTTGCCCCTGGTATCGGTCTATTCTTTGGTATCTTTTCTTTTTATTTTACCTTTTCTTTTCTTGTTGGAATAACTTTACTCTTTTTTTTTTCTCGTCGTGGGAAATAAACGTGGAATCATTCTCGGTCTAACCCGTAATTGAAAGCTGCACTCGTGCAAGAAATCTTTCTCGGTATTGTCTTTCTACTGTATGACGATTCCACTGTATGCCGGTCACGTAACATTGAGATAAATATTTAGCATAAGTGCGTGAGTGCGTGACCGAGTGAGCTCGTAGGTGCGTGAGTACTCGAGTTGCTGAGTGCAAATTTTTTTTTTATGCAGAACAGTGTGAAAACGAGTGTCGCTCGGCGCGGAAGGCGTGTTTACGAGAGACAGGTCATCTTTAAGGGGGCTGAAAATTTTAGGGATGCTGGGAATTTGGTACTGTGACGCGGATGACGCAATCGTTGCGGTGAAATTATAGACGGGAATAAAAATGAAATCCTTTGGGAAAAATGATTATCGCGAATTGCGTGATGTAAAGTGGTCGAATGGCGTCGCGACGCTTCAACGTGGGGTTGATTTTTTTTTTTTTTTAATAATGATCTCGCTCCTCTTTCGAGACGTAAATTTACTTTTACGGGCAATTTTGAAACGCTTAGTTCGAAAATTTTATTTAGATATGCAGACAGGGCCGATTACGTTACCTGAGGAAAAGGGCGAAACCCTCCCCCGACGACCCTACGTAATTGAATTCCCGATTTGAGTAATCAGCACTGACTTGGTAATTTCATCCTGTGGATGGACCATTCGAAATACGGGTAATTCGAGGGAGCGAATAAAAAGATCTGGTTGCTAAGGGCGAAGAAATGAAAGATTTTTTGAAAATCACCTGCGATTTCCTTTTCAGCCGTAAAAAGAGAGTAACGAGAATCGACATACAAAAATATCACTGCGAGAGACAAAAAATACAAATGGACAAAGAAACGAACGGGAAAGGAAACAAGAGGGGAAGTCGTGACTTCTCGTCTTTTTTTTTTTTTTCTTTTTTTTTTATATTTGCGTCAACCCCCTTTTTCTGTTCATGAAGGGTCGGTGGATGGGGCACGGGTAGAGGGTAGGTGTGGCGGTACAGATTTTTTTGCCTAATGGAATGAGGAGTGAGATTCGCGTTGACAATCGAATGTCCATTAGCCAACCCTGCTGTGCCCCAAAACGTGCCGTGTCAAAGGTCAGGAGGGGTGGTGGTGCTTATATAGCATACCCAGGGGTACTTGAGCGAAAGAGACGGCTGTTCGGTCAAGGGGTTGTTGGAGAGCTGGGATAGGATTTCGATATAGGGATTGGGTCATCCCGAAGCGACGTCCGCGTTAGCAGGCATCGGGACGCGTGACAAATGGCCCCCACTGATTAAATCAATCGGGCGTAGATACGCTCCTGGAATGACACGTCACGTCGCAAAGCTTCTATTTATGGCTGCTGGACCACTGTGCTCATAATTTTCAAAATCTGAAAAGCGAACGGCACTTTGTCATGTCCCTCTGGGCAGTCGAGGTAAACCTCGTTACTGCCATCTATCGGGATCAGCTGATCGTATTAGATTTCCAGCCGAAGCAGATAGACTGGAAACCGCAATGAAAAAATTAAAAAAAAAAAAAAAAAAAAAAAAAAAAAAAAAAAAAAAAAAAAAAAAAAAAAAAAAAAAAAAAAAAAAATATCCACCACAGGTAAATACTCTTATGCAATAGCTGTATATAGCATATAGGACAGACTTCTGATTTACGGTGTAAAATTATATGCACTCAAGGTTGCCTTCTTGGATAATCAGTACTAAAGTTATACAAGAAGATGGATCTTAATAAGAGACCTGGCTGTCTTAATGAGACAGATTGTAAGGAGGAAAGAACGAGAACGAGGAGAACGGAAGCTGCGCTCTTTGACGGCTCCCGCCCGGAATGGCCAAAATGGATTTCTTTTGTCGAACGTTTCTTTTGGTGGCTGAATACAAATGCCGGGGAAAAAAAAAGGAAGGAAGGGAAAACACGAGAGATGAAAGAGAGAGGAAAAGCGGATGGGAT